AGGCTGAGGCAGGAGCATTGCTTGAACTCGGGAGCCGGAGGTTGGATGAGCCGAGGTCATGCCACGGCACTCCAGCCTGGGCAACAAGGGTGAAACTCCGTCTCAAAAAAAAAAAAAAAGGGGCTCAGCCAGGATCTCATACCAGGTCTGTGGTGCAGTGCCAAGATGTCCTCTTCGGAAAGAATCACATGTACTGGTTGAAACAACACCAATAAACACCTTAGGCTGTGAGTTGGACACAGTGAGGTCAATACATGTGCTGCAGCATTCCGTAGTCTTTCAGTGTCCCATGGGCTATTTGTTCCCACAGGTACAGGTCCTTTACATACCCTGCAGGGACAGTGATTTGCATGGGGAGGGCTGGTGCACAGCTCTGCTGGCTGTGAGCAGTGCAGGCCTCTGGGGGCTGTGACTCTTCAGAACTTGGAGCCGGTTGGGGGCCTCCAATGCCCTGTGCTGACGAGCTGGCCTGGGGGCTTCTCCTTACTAGGGTCTTCTCTCAGTCTCTAAAGGTGTGCACAGTCTCTCCTGGGCACGCAGACAATGGGCTGGACAAGCATCTCTCCCCTCTAAGGCCCAGTCACCAAGCATTCCCTCCAGGGGGTGGGCTTTGGAAATTCTCACTACATATAAACAGCTCTTCTGTCACCTAGTATTTTCTAATTCTGGAGTGGTGGCTCCCAGTCTCTTCACCACTAAGGAAGCTTAGGGGATTTCTTCCCTCCTTCTGTTTCAATATGGTTTTAGCTACCAAACAGAATCCTCTAAGTGATCTTTTTTTTTTTTTTTTTTTTTTTTTTTTTGAGACACAGTTTCACTGATGTTGCCCAGGCTGGAGTGCAATGGTGCGATCTCGGCTCACCACAACCTCTGCTGTTGGGTTCAAGTGATACTTCTGCCTCAGCCTCTGGAGTAGCTGGGTTGACAGGCATGTGCCACCATGCCCAGCTAATTTTGTATTTTTAGTAGAGATGGCATTTCTCCATGGTGGTCAAGCTGGTCTAAACTCCCGACCTCAGGTGATTTGCCTGCCTCGGCCTCCCAAAGTTCTGGGATTACAGGTGTGAGCCACTGCACCCTGTCTTCATTTGCTTTCTTGCACTGTTCATCAAAGATGTATTTAAGATCAGCATGAATACAAGGTTACATCATTTACAATATTTGAAAGTAAGTCCCAGCCCCAGTTGAGATTCCAGTCTGGGCTAGCTGACCTAGAGGGGTTGTTAAATGTCTAGTAATAGGAACAGCTGTCTCCCTTTCCTTCTCCTGCTGTGGCAGATGCTTTTTTCCTCTAGGACCACTGACTTCTGGAGATCTATGATTCATAACCTTGTGGCTATAAATGCGATGTCAAAGAGGACATGAGGCCAGGTGTGGTGGCTCACACCGTAATTCCAGCACTTTGGGAGGCCGAGGTGGATAGATTACGAGGTCAGGAGTTTAAGACCATCCTGGCCAAGATGGTGAAACGCTGTCTCTACTAAAAATAGAAAAAATTAGCCAGGCATGGTGGCAGGTGCCTGTAATTCCAGCTACTGTAGAGACTGAGGCAGAGAATTGCTTGAACCTAGGAGATGGAGGTTGGAGTGAGCTGAGATCGTGCCACTGCACTCCAGCCTGGGTGACAAACCTAGTGTCTGTCTCAAAAAAAAAAAAAAAAAAAGAAGACAAAATAATTCAGGTTCCTCTTTCCCTTGGGTTACCTCTCCTGGGCAAATTAAGAACAGGCACTTGGAGAAAGGAACCAGGGTTATGCCATAATCAAAGGTCTGTCCACCTACGATGGCCCAAGGAGGTGGGACCTGACCATGACTCACCATTATCTACGTAATGCAGCCTAACTATCCTGTTCTGCTTTTAGCTATTCAAGACTAACTAATCACGGAAAAGTCACGTTTTCCCAACAGTATATTGACTGAATCACTGGGTGTAATGCCAGAGGAGTGGGACCTGCTTGACCTCTCTTCCCTCGTGTCCAGGTGCCCAGAAGCCCCTATGTGGCAGTGGGATCCAGAGGTAAGAAAGCACAGTTCCTGTGTAGCCTCACGGGGAGTAGGTGCCTCACTGGGCTGGTTCTCAATTGTTCCAGGGTCAAGCCAGGAGGCACAAGCAACCTGCTCTTCATCCTTCCAACATTTTTTTTAGTAATAACCCTAGTCCTTTGATTAAAACACCTATAGTGGTGTCTTACATTTTTTTCTTCCTTTTTTTTTTTTTTTTTTTGACAGAGTGTCTCTTTGTTGCCCAGGCTGAGTGCAGTGGTGCAATCTTGGTTCACTGCAACCTCTGCCTCCCAGGTTCAAGAGATTTCCCTGCCTCAGCCTCCTGAGTAGGTAGGAGTACAGGTGCATGCCACCATGCCCAGCTAAGTTTTTGTATTTTTAATAGAGGCGGGTTTTCACCATGTTAGCCAGGATGAGCTCGATCTCCTGACCTTGTGATCTGCCCACATCGGCCTCCCTAAGTGCTGGGATTACAGGCGTGAGCTACTGCGCCCAGCAAGTCTTACATTTTTCAAAGCATAACTCAAACATTGCTTCCTTATAAACCTTCCTGGGTCTCCAAAAAGGGATCCCCAACCCCTGGGCCGTGGACTGTTACCAGTCTGTGGCCTGTTAGGAACTGGGCCGCACAGCAGGAGGTGAGTGGCAGGTGACCAAGCATGACCGCCTGAGCTCTGCCTCCTGTCAGACTGGCAGTGGCATTAGATTCTCATAAGAGTGTGAACCTTATTGTGAAGTGTGCATGTGAGGGATCTAGGTTACTCACTCCTATGAGAATCCAATGCCTGATGACCTCTCAGTGTATCCCATCACCACTAGATGGGATTGTCTAGTTGCAGGAAAACAAGTTCAGGATTCCTACTGATTCTACATTATGGTGAATTATATAAATATTTCATTATACATTACAATGTAATAATAGAAATAAAGTCCACAATAAATATAATACGCTTGATTCATCCCGAAAACATCCCTCCCTCCCAACTTGTCCGTGGAAAATTTGTCTTCTATGAAATCGGTCCATGGTGCCAAAAACGTTGGGAACCACCATCTTAGAAAACAGTTTCCTCTCTGACTTTTAGCATTTTGTACCTTTCTTTCAGTACTAACCACAATAGTTATCTGTCTGTTTTTTCACTGTCATTAAATCTTAGGTTCCGTCAGCACAGGAAACATTCTTGGCCCCTAGTCCCACTCTGAACCTCACAATATTCTTTGAACACAGGAAGGGTTCAGTAAATATTTGTTAAAATCTGTTGGAGTTTTGGCTTAGAAAGGTTTCAGATTTAAAACTGAGGAAAGCCGACCTATGAGGTAAGGCAAACATAGAACGCCAATATGGTGGAAGTAGAAATGGGCAGAGCAAGCAGAGAAGGAAAACAGTTCACTTTTCTGGGACACTAATAAGGAGCAGCAGTTCCCCTTTAATTTTTTAAATGCTAGGATGAGTTCAAATTTCCATCACATCTATACTTCGATTTTCTTTGCATTAATTAAGACTTCTTTGTTGCTAAAATGCAAAGATTCCGGGCTTACACAGAAACTAATACTCTAGGAGGAATGTCTGAGATAAAAATATCTACCACTAACCGAGACCTAACTATCAGGTTGCTCATTTTGTGTTCTGTAATAGAATAGCACAGATTGAGTAATCTTTAAAGCAAAGCAATGTGTTTCATGGTTCTGCAGTGTAAAACGTCTAATATCAAGATCCTGGCACGTGGTGAGGGTGTTTTGTGATCACCTCTTGGTGGAGGCAAGTGGGTGAGTGAGGGCAAGAGGTGGAACCTGCTCAACCTCAAGCCCTTTTGTGATCAGTATGAATCCATTCGTAAGGTTGGAACCCCATGGCCGACCATTAGCCTTCACTTACCGATACGGCTGCATTGAGGATTCAGTTCCCAACACATGCTTTTTGGAGGACACATTCAAACCACAGCATAGGTACTTTATATTAGCTTTGCAATAACCCTCCCAGGAAAAGGGTGTCACATACAAATTGAGGAACCGGAGCCCAGACAGGTGAAGCCCCACCACGTAGGTCACACAGGAGGAAATGGCAAAGTAAAAATTCACGCCCAGATCTTCCTGGGCTTTCTCACCACGCACGTTGTTGTCTCACTGTGGATATCCCCTGAGAGAATGAGACTCAGGTGATTAGACAGATCGACCAGGGAGAAGGGGAAAGTCAGCATGACCAGGACTAGAACACAGGCCAGGGGGCCCAGTTGTAGGCGGACCATGGCATTGAGGCCTAAGGATGGCTTGAATGAGGTCTAAAAATAAGAACAAAATAAGAACAAAGTACAAAATGCACAAATGAAATGCAAATGATGCTTGATTACAAATTTAATTGTATTTCCAAGTGAGCTGCAGCTTATCTTGGGAGGGTGAGGGAAATGAAGGTACTGTTAAAGGGCCATGGGAGAGAAAAGTATCTGCGGGAAGAGGAGAATAATCTCCTGTGGCTCTGCTGCCTCATGGATACACTGGAGCAGGGATTCGGGCCCCCAAAGCCTCAGGTAGCCCCAGGCCTGTGGCTTTGCTGGGGGCAGCCCATGTGGCTGCTCGTGTGGGTTGGAGGCCGGAGCCTGAAGCTTTCCTAAGTTGGGCACTGCATGTTGCTACTGACTCCGTAGTTCTGGGGTCCTGCTCCCACTACTCCACAAGGCACTCTCTCCAGTGGCCTGGCTTCCACGGATACACTAGACATTTCCCTGGTGGGGGCTCTCTGTGGCAGCTGCACCTCACATTTCCACTTGGCATCACTCATGTGGAAGCAACACATGTCAGTGTGAGGAAGGGGTCATGATGGGCACCGGGGTGGGCTGTGTCTCCACCTCCTCATATTATACTAAAAGGAACACAGGTACATGCAGATGCCTTTGCAGAAAGAGAAGGCAGAGTCTCTTGAGCTCATAAAGCGAGGCGTGGAGGAATCCCCGATCTTTGTCTCTCACAAGGTAGCTGTCTCAGACTGCAGAAAAAAACAGTCATGAACAAATTCAGATCCGTCACAGTAAGTGATGACCCTGAACAGCTCATCACACACTCAAAAGTTCCCAATCAAAAAATCCCCATAACCCAGTCCTGTCCCCTCTGCCCCACCCCCCACCCAATTCAGACCCCCAGGGTCTCTCCTTTACAAGCTGTGAGAGACAGATCAGAGCCCTGGGCACTGTCGCTGGCTGGGGTAGAACAAAAACAGGACCTGGTCAGAGCCTGAGGGAGATGTGGGCCAGGAGGAATTATGGGGTGGGTAACTCCTCCACACTCCTGCCCCCTACTTACATGAAGCCTGAGAGTAGCTCCCTCCTTTTCCACCTGTGGGAAGAAAATGTCCTGTGAGGGGACAAGGAGAAGGCAGAGCCACAAGGTCCTAGAGGAATCCCCTAGTCTTGGACCCCAGAGAAATTTCCAGAACTGTGACTGCAGACCCAGGGCAGGATCAGGAAACATGAGGAAAGCAGAAGTGGGTCCTGGACCAGCTGCCCTCCTGAGGTCTGTCCTCAGCAGGGACCTTCCCTTGTGACCTGTGACTGCTGGGATCAGGTCCCCATCACCACAATCATCAAGGTGATACATCTGTCCTTCAATGTCACAGGTCCTTTATAAAAGAGTAAGCGCTGGCACACAGGGCCTATGCTGAGTAGGCCTGTGTGTGTGGATGCTGCTTCCCAGTAACTAAGCAGGGCACACTTCTACCCGGGGCTTGAAATCCCCAGTGGGACAAAAAAACTGAGACCCCACCCCTAACGCCTTCCTCACCTGAGCTCTTCTTCCTCCACATCACAGCAGCGACCACAGCTCCAGTGACCACAGCTCCAAGGACAACCAGGGGAGCAACGATGCCCACGATGGGGATGGTGGGCTGGGAAGACGGCTCTGGGAAAGGAGGAGGTGAGGGGCCCTGACCCCCAGGCCTCAGCCCCGACCCTGATAAAGGGCTCAAGAAGGGCTCCAGCTTTCCCTGAGAAGAGATGTGACCCCCCTCCCCCATCCCCTCCTTACCCCATCTCAGGGTGAGGGGCTCCGGCAGCCCCTCGTGCTGCACATGGCACGTGTATCTCTGCTCCTCTCCAGAAGGCACCACCACAGCCGCCCACTTCTGGAAGTTTCCGTCCCCTGCCGGCCTGGTCTCCACAAGCTCCATGTCCTGGATCAGGTCCTCCCCATCCCGCTGCCAGGTCAGTGTGATCTCCGCAGGGTAGAAGCCCAGGGCCCAGCACCTCAGGGTGGCCTCATGGTCAGAGGCGCGGTGGTGGGTCACATGTGTCTTTGGGGGATCTGAGGGGAAGAGTCAGAAACTTCAGGCACTTTGCATCTCTCATGGGACACTCCAGCAGTGCCTGTGTGACCATCTTGAGAACAAAGAGGACATTTAGAGTAGGAGAGCACAAAACCTAGACACCAGCCTGGACTTAGGGGTCTGGGATAGCCTCTTATTCCTTGGAAAGTTCTAGAACTGGGGTGAGATAGCCCAGGATAGAAGGAGAAAAGGAATTTCTGGTTCTGGCCTGAGTGGATGCTGAGTGACTGAGAAAAGCTGAAGTCAGACCTCCAAAGACGCTTGGTGTGGGGCTGAGAACCAGGCAGGAGAGAAAGTCCCCCATGATCCCTAACACTGGGAGTCAAGGAGAACTGCTGATCAGTTCACAGTTCATTTGAAGGATGGACTCTCCAGCGAGACTGGATTCCTTAATTGCCCCTGAGAAGGGCTGGCTCTTTAAGAGTCACTCTTTGGTATAGGATCTCCTGTTCCCAGGGTGACAGCTCCGTCTCCTGATCCAAGGAGCAAGGGGTATTCTGGCCTCCATCCCTGTTTCTTCTACTTTTTTGAGTTGTCAGCTGTGGGCACAGTCCCAGCCCAAGAAGGAGATGGGAGAGTTGCCCTGTGGCCCCTCTTACCCGCACGCAGCAGCGTCTCCTTCCCGTTCTCCAGGTATCTGCCCAGCCACTCCACGCACGTGTCCTCCAGGTAGGCTCTTTGGTGGTCCGCCTCACCGGTCTCCTCTGACTTGCGCTGGGAGATCTGAGCCGCGGTGTCCGCCGCGGTCCAGGAGCGCAGGTCCTCGTTCAAGGTGAGGTAATCGCTGCCGTCGTAGGCGAACTGTTCATACCCACGGAGGAAGCGCCCGTCGGGCCCCAGGTCGCATCCATGCATCCACTGGAGGGTGTGAGACCCTGGCCCCGCCCCTGATGTCAGCCCCGCCCACCGAGCCCCGCCCGCACTCTCGCCCGAGCCCCGCCCCCACTCTCGCCCCGCCCCGCCCCACCCGCGGGGATTTTCTCCTAAACTGAAAATGAAACCTGGTAAAGCGTCCCGGGCTCGCCCAGGTCGAGGGTCTGGGCGGGTCCCACAGACTCGGGGTGGATCTCGGACCGGGAGACTCGGGGTGACCCGGGCTGTCCGCGGGTGATGGGAGGGAGTCGTGACCTTGTGCCCCGGGCAGAGTCACTCACCGGCCTCGCTCTGGTTGTAGTAGCGGAGCAGGGTCCGCAGGTTCACTCGGAAACTCTGTGCGGTGTCCCTGGCTCTCTGTGTCTCCTTCTCCCAATACTCCGGCCCCTGCTGCTCCATCCACGGCGCCCGCGGCTCCATCCTCGGAATCGCGGCGTCGCTGTCGAACCGCACGAACTGCGTGTCGTCCACGTAGCCCACGGAGATGAATCGGGGCTCCCCGCGGCCGGGCCGGGACACGGAGGTGTGGAAATACCTCATGGAGTGGGAGCCTGGGGGCGAGGACGGGCTGAGACCCGCCGACCCTCCTCCGGGTCCAGCTCCTCGGGCCCTGCGCCCGGGTCTGGGGGGCCCCCTGGCTCCTCCCCGCAGAGGCTGTTTGACTCCCCACCCCGCACTCACCTGCCCAGATCTCGGTCAGGGCCAGGGCCCCCGAGAGCAGCAGGAGGAGGCTTCGGGGAGGCATGACTCCATTCTCTGCGTCTGTGGAGAACTAGTCTAGGGTGTGTGGGGACTTCATAGTCGAGAATTGTGGCCGTTCATTCATTGGCTTCTCTAGAAATCCGACACCCAATGGGAACGAAAACTGAGTCTGTGTCATGAGTGTCCAGGAAGAAGGACCCGACCAGGTTCGGAGAAGAAATGAAACTGCCGAGTGAGGAAGTCCTAAGGCTACACCTCCCCTGTTTCCAGGCTCTGCCCTTGGGGCCTGAGACCGTGAGAGCTACGCCCGGGGACCTGGAACACTGTCCTGCTCCCTCTGTTCCTGACCCAAGCGCGCTCTTTGTCACGCTATCAGTGCTTTTCTTCGTCGTCGTTGTGTGTGTGTGTGTGTCTGGGTGTGTGTGTGTGTTTGGAGTTGGATGTGTGTGTTAGGAGGTGTCTCGCTCTGTTGACCAGGCTGGTCTCGAACTTCAGTCCTCAAGCGATCCTCCCATCTCGTCCTCTCAAACTACTAGATTATGGGCATGAGCCACCCCGCCTCGCCTTGGTTCTCTCTCTCTCTCTCTCTCTCTCTCTCTCTGTGTCTGTGTGTGTGTGTGTGTGTGTGTGTGTGTGTTCGTGTTTTGAGACAGAGTTTCGCTCTTGTCGCCCAGGCTGTAGTGCAATGGCGCAATCTCGGCTCACGGCAGCCTATGCCTCCTGGGTTCACGATTCTCCTGCCTCAGCCTCCCCAGTAGCTGGGATTACAGACATGTGCCACCATGCTCCGCTAATTTTTTAATTTATAGTAGAGACGGGGTTTCTCCATGTGTGACATGGTAAAAGCCCCATAAAACTGCATACCTCAGCCATACCTCGGCTTTCTGTTGAAACTGCTCTCTGTAACCCAAATGTGAATAAGTAATTAAGGACTGTAATTTCCACTGTACCCAGAAATGTGTAAACAAATGCTAATCTTGACTTTTGTGAACCACTTAAGTAACAATCAGAATGTCAAAAGTCCCCTGGCCCTCGGAGTGCCTGGAGTCCCTCACCCTCATCTCTGCCCAGGAGGTGATTTACAGAATCCGCTAGCCCTCAGAACGTCTGAAGCCCCTCACTCCCACCTCTGCCCTTCACCCTCACGCCGAAGCTGGTTTCATTCATATAAAATGTCTTGACACCCTCCTTTCGGGGCCACGGGTTGGAGAGACGCGAGTCCTCCGTGGCTGCTGGCAATAAATACCCTGCAATTTGGCATACTTTTGTCTTGGTGTTGACTTTCTATGCTCGGTTCGGTACAACACAAGTTGGTCAGGCTGGTCTCAAACTCTTGACCTCAGATGATCCGCCTGCCTCTGCCTCCCTGTGGGTAACACCCCATATAGGGACCGAGGAATGAGAGCTAAGCAGAGCCCTGGCACAGTTAGGGCTTGAGGAATATCTCACTTTATAGTGTTACTACTCAGCTATTTCCTTTTATATATCCTTTACATAATCATATATTAGTTTATAGAAATAGGGCTTGAAGCCTCCCTTTATATCTATATATAATCATTAATAGTTGATAGTATGGGCACCTGAAGAATATTTCCCTACATATATACCTATAATTATATCTTAGTTCATAATTGAAGGAATGCCTTGAGTGGACACAGTACAGAGCATGAATTAAGAAATAAGCAGCTTACAATTGGAGGAATGTCTAGAGCAGACACAGTGCAGAGCATGATTTAAGGGAAAACAGTTATACCAGGACAAGAATCCATGGCCCAGGCGGCAGCGTTCAGTATTGTAAAGATACCCGCTGTGTGGCAGGCTTGGGTTGAGAGCCGCTCCTCCTGATAAAGGAGTTGTAGGACCTTGCTCCAGTTCTTGTGGAAGGCTGCCCTCAGAACGGTCATCCACCTTGGGGACTGTGAACTTTATCAGCTCTTGCTACTGTGCTGCTTGAAAAGCATCTTCCCATAGAATCCATTGGAAGCTGCCAGAAGGTGGCGGTAACCCTGACAGCTCTGTCACTGCTATGTGACTTAAAGCATCCTCCTATATATCTTCTTAGAAGTAGTTTTCCCACAGATAGAAGTATCGCACAGGGCACCCTCTTCACTGTGCACGGCCCACCTCCATGCTTCGGTGACCTAATGGGGTGGACCCCTTACTGCACACGGCCCTTGCCTTTGTGGGAACCGGGCCCTTGCCTTCATGGGGACAGGCCCCTTGCTGCGCGCTGTCCACCTCCTGGTCTAGGTGACCTAATGGGGGTGGACTCTATGTTTTATTGCTCACGACCCTATCACTATCCTTAAAGATGATGTCACTCACTGCCCTACCCCCTAATCTATGCACAATACTCATGCTTCTGGACATTCGGGGCCTCGCCGGCCTCACCAGCCACTCACCAGCCTTGCCTCGCCAGCCTTGCTGGCCTTGTCTGACTCCGCTTATAGGTGGCGTGGCCCCCTGAGCCCAGCTGCATTTTCTTTGTACTTCTGTGTCTTGTCTCGTTATTTCTCGGATCCTGCACCTCAGCACAGCATAAGGCTCACCCCACGACCCTGTGGGGCAATCAGCCTTACATCTGGCTCCCAACATGCCCTACACCTCCCAAAGTGGTGGGATTACAGGCATGAGCCACAGCACCCGGCCTTTTTTTTGGAGACAGGCTCCCACTCTGTCACCCAGGCTGGAGTGCAGTGGCGCTATTACGGCTCACTGCAGCCTCGATCTCTGAGGCTCAAAGGATCCTTCCATCTCAGACTCCCGAGTAGCTGGGACTACAGATGTGCGCACCACACCAGGCAATTTTTTTTTTTTGCATTTTGTAGATATGGGTTTTGCCGTATTGCCCAGGCTGGTCTTAAACTCCTGGGCTCAAGCGATCCCCCTGCCTCGGCCTCCCAAAGTGCTGTGTTTCCAGGCGTGAGACTGCATTGTTATATACTGTGTTTTAAATCCCAAAGTGCTGGAATTACAGATGTGTGCAGCAATCAGCGGTTACGTTTTTAGGTGTCAGTATCTCTGTACACTGTTAGAAAATTAGTAAGGACTCAAGTAAATTTTGTTTCTGTGGATTATATCAATATTTATCATATATAAATAAAAACAGAATGTTAAAAATATTAATTCATTTAAGATAACATTAATACCCATTACATGCTAATAGAAATAATATTTTTTAAAATGAAAACAAATCATTTTTAATTTTTCCAAAATAAACAATATATAGGCTGGGCATGGTGGCTGGCCTGTAATGGCAGCAGTTTGGGAGGGCAAGGGGGGCGGATCATGAGGTCAGGAATTCAAGACCAGCCTGGACAACAGGGTGAAATCCCGTGTCCACTAACAATACAAAAATTAGCCCGGCGTGGTTCCACATGCCTGTAATCCCAGCTACTCCGGAGGCTGAGGCAGGAGAATTGCTTAAACCCAGGAGGTGGTGGTTGCAGTGAGCCGAGATGGTGCCACTACCCTCTCGCCTGGGCGACCCAGTGAGACTCCGCTGCGGGGCGGTGGGGAACAGACAAAAAAAACAAACAGAATCTGCTTCAAGAAGTTGTCTTTGTTACAGCCAAGACAGCCGGCCAAATGACTTCAGAAAGACCTCACACTTCATTATAATCCCGTTTCCAGGCTAAACGGCACTCCCATCAGTGCTAGGACAGTTGACAATCTCCATGACAATGACTAGAAGTCCAAAAAGGACTGAAAGCAAAGCGGTATTACCGATTTGAAGAAGTTCACCGCCTTTTTCCTGTAAACTTAGGAATATTCCTCCCCTCACTTCTAGTGCCCAACCCCTCCCTTGGAGCCGTCCTACATTTTAGCCCCTCACCCCTCACTAGCCGAGAAGTTGGTTTGGGAGAGCAGTTCCCGCCTTTCCAAGTCCTGTGAAGGAATAAAGCTTGCTCTGCCTGAGGCTCACTTTCGGTTTCGTGTATTGGCTCTGCGACTCCCAATGAGGAAAGATCCCACCTTCTGCAGCTACCAAGATTTTTGGTAACAAGAGGAGTAATTATTTTACATTTTTGTAAGTGTCATTCTTGTCTCACAGCATACATTCTCTTATTTACTTATTTTTAAAATTTCAACTTTTATTTTAGATACGGGGATACATGTGCAGGTTTGCTGCGTGGGCATGTTGTCCGATCCTGAGGTTTGGGGCATGGATCCTGTCACTCAGGTAGTGAGCACAGTACACGTAGGTAGTTTTTCAACCGACGTCCCCACACTCTTCACTCTGTTGTTGCCATGTTTATGTCCATGTGTGCTCAGTGTTTTGCTTCTAAACATCAGTGAGAAGATGCAGTATTTGGTTTTCTGTTCCTGCATTAATTCACTTAGGATTACGGCCTCCAGCAGCATTCCAGCAATTCTCTTACTTTGATTGAAGTGTATGTTAAAAAAAAAAAAAATCTAGCCTTACAGAAATATTGAGTTGAAAAGGGAAGGATTATTATTATTGCTGTTGTTTAGAGACAGGGTCTCACTGTCATCCAGGCTCACTGCAGCCTCGAACCGAACTCCTGGGCTCAAGAGATTCTCTCACCTCAGACTTCCCAGTAGCTGGAACGACTCGTATGAGCTTCCATGCTTGGACAGGATGGATTATTTTTAACAGCTTTACATGTAATTATGGATATTCATCTTTCACATTACACAGAAACTGTACAAGTGGTGATTTCTTTTTTAAAAGCAAATAATTCATTTTTTATTAATTAAAATTATATTTAAAACATTTTAAAATTTCAATAGTTTTTAGGGAACAGGTGATGTGTGGTTACATGAATAAGTTCTTTATTGGTGATTTCTGAGATTCTGGTGCACACAGCCCCCAATTAGTGTACACAGTACACAATGTGTGGTCTTTTCTCCCTCACCTCCCTCTCACCCTTCCCCTGGGAGCTCCCAAAGTCCATTGTATCATTCTCATGCCTTTGTGGTCTCATAGCTTAGCTCCCACTTATAAGTCAGAACATACAACGGCTGATTTTCCATTCCTGGTTAATTGACATAAAATAATGGTCTCCAACTCTATTCAGGTTGCTTCAAATGCCATTCTTTCATTTTTCTTTTTATGGCTGAGTAGTATTCCATTTGTGTGTGTGTGTGT